TATTTGAGAGAGAGAGAGAAAGAGAGAGAGCTCACAAGCAAGGGAGGGGCTGAGAGGGAGGGAGAAAGGGAATCCCAAGCATGTTCCACACTGTCAGTGCAGAGCCCGATGCAGGGCTTGAACCCACCAACCATGAGATCATGACCTGAACTGAAGTTGGGACACTTGATCAACTGAGCCACCCAGGTGCCCCATTTTATTTTATTTTTTTAAATGTTTATTTATTTCTTTTTGAGAGGGAGGGATAGAGAATCCCAAGCAGGCTCTGTACTATCAGCACAGAGCCTAACTCGGGGCTCAATCTCACGAACCATGAGATCATGATCTCAGCTGAAATCAAGAGAGGAATGCTTAACCAACTGAACCACGCTGGGGCCCATAAAGATTTTATTTTTTAGTAATCTCTACACCCAACATAGGGCTGGAACTTACAACTCCAAGATCCAGAACTGCATGATACAATGACTGAACCAGCCAGGTGCCCCTATTCAGTAATATTTTAAAATTGATTTAAAATTTTAGTTCTCTAAATATCACCTTGCACACACGGTGAGAAAATGCCAGTTTCCCATCTCTGAATTTCAGGTTATTTAAAATTTTCTTATTGAGTAAGGAAAAGAAAATATGACCAAAAGTAGAGGATAAGACCTCTCAAAACAGTAATACCCCATAAAACTGGGACTGTTTTAGACATTGTAATAATTAGGATAGGCTGAACTGAAATCTTTTAAGATCAGTCTTTTAAGTCAATTTAAGATTACATACAATAAATTTGCCAATTTTAAGTGTGCAATTTTTTTTTTTTTAATTTTTTTCAACGTTTTTTATTTATTTTTGGGACAGAGAGAGACAGAGCATGAACGGGGGAGGGTCAGAGAGAGAGGGAGACACAGAATCGGAAACAGGCTCCAGGCTCCGAGCCATCAGCCCAGAGCCTGATGCGGGGCTCGAACTCACGGACCGCGAGATCGTGACCTGGCTGAAGTCGGACGCTTAACCGACTGCGCCACCCAGGCGCCCCTAAGTGTGCAATTTGATGAGTTTTGACAGATGTATAGTCATGCAACCACCACAATCATAACGTAGAAAAGTTCCATCAACCCAAAAGGTTCCCCTGTGTCCTTTTCCATCCATCCCCTTCCCCAGCTCTTATCTCCTAGCAACTGCTGTTCTGCTTTCTATCATTATTATACTGCCTTTTCTAGAACTTAATATAAATGGAACCGTATAGGATCTAGCCTTTTGTGTCTGTTCTCTTTCACTTACTTAGTATAATGCTTCTGAGTTTTACCCATGTTGTTAGATGTATCAACAGTTTGCTCGTTTTTATATATTGCCAACTAGTACCCCACTGAATACATGTAGCACATTCTGCTTATCCACTCCCCAGGTGGTGGATTTTGGTGTTGTTTCCATCTTGGCTATTATGAATAAAGCTCCCAGGGACATCTGAATACAAGTCTTAGTGTAGATACATGTATTCATTTCTCTCCAGTAAATATTCAGGAGTGCGAGTCTGTGTCAAGTGTATGCTAAGTGTATGTATGTCTTTATAAGAAACTGTCAAACTGTTTTTCCTTTTGCATTCTCACTAGCAATGTCCAAGCATTCCACTGCTCTCCTCCATCCTCACCAATATTTGGTATTATCAGTCTTTGAAATTTTTGTTTTTCCAGTGTGTGTGGTGTGAATTTTACTTCTGAAGGCAACAAGGAATTATGAATCAGGGGAATAATTTGAGAAAGAATAAGGGGGATTTTTAGACTATATCATTCTAATATTAATATATCACTATGTGCTAATAAATGGATAGGGACTAAAAACATCTAGGGAAACTTCTTTGTTAAGTAAACTAAGGACCTCTCAGGTACCCTTGTTATTCTACTTATGGTTTTATTGTCTATGGCTAAAATAAAACCGCTTCACTGATAAACTTCCGTAATTTTTCATTAAATCATACTGCCTCTGTATTAGTTTTTTGTGGCTCCTATAATAGATTATCGCAAACTTGGTGACTTAAAACAACACAAATCTATTCTGTCATAGTTCTGGAGGTCCAGAAGTCAGAAATTATCACCAGGCAGAAATCAGGGCAGGGCCACACTCCATCTGGAGGCTCTATGGAAGAGTATGCTCACTTCTTCAAGCTTCTGGTAGCTGCTGTCATTTTGTGGCTTGTGGCTGTTATCACTCCAATCTCTGCCGATACTGTCTTCTCTTGTGT